AGAGCACAATCTTAGCATTCACGCCGGACAGAATGATGTTTACTTGCATTGTTTTGAGAGAAAAAGGTGAGGAGGCTGATTGTGAGCACATTATGGTCAGACACGAGTGAGTGGAGAAGATTGCTCTAGACTCTAGTATACCAACAAAGCCGTCGTTCATTTTCCTGCATCCACGGACGCATTGCCACATTGGCCATTTATGTTATTTGGTACTATATATCATTCATTGACTCATCAAGTTTAAATTCTTCCGTATTCGGTCACACCATGTGAAAAACAGTTTGTAGCAATGAGGCTTTTTTTTTAAGGGACGGCTGGCATTAGAGCCGCCCCTATAGTGACGTACTCGGGCTCCAACACAGCAACCGCCCCTACAAATGGCACAGTAGAGGCGGCTGGTAATACGAGCCGCCCCTACAAATAAGTCGATTTGTAGGGGTGGCTGGTATTACCAGCCACCCCTGCTGTGTCCATTTGTAGGGGCGGCTGAATCACCAGCCGCCCCTACAAATACCCGCGGTATATATAGCAGCCACATTCAGCCCGAGAAAAAAATTCCAACCCTAACTCCCTCTCCCTCTCCCTCCTCTCTCTCGGCGGCGGCTCCCTCTCTCTCTTGTCTCCGCTCTCCTCCCTCCCTCTTCTCTTAGCGGCTCCCAGCTCCGCTCCCAGATCCCGCCGCGCGCGCGAGCGAGCCCCGAGGAGTGACCATGGAGGAGCCCACGGAGACCAGGCCAGCCGGTGCGGAGGATCTCGCGAACGGCGTGCGAGAGCCGGAGGGGCCTCCGCCGGAGGTTGAGGAGGAGGAAGTGGAGGAGGAGGCGAAGGCAGCGCTGGGGTCGGAGTGCAAGCGACGCGTCGAGCTAGGGCCCCCATCCCGTTCCCGCCCCGTGCCTCGCCGAGAGATCTGCGCCGTCGTCGGCACCGATCCGTCCATCCGTCGTCGGCGCTTATTTTTCTCGGAAAGCGTAGGAGTGCCGCGCTTCATTATATTAAGAAGAAAGATGGGTTAAGAACCCTTTACAACGCACACCGCACACCACACACCACACACCACACTTTTTGACTGATTACATTCGCGCATGTGAACTAGCTGTCGAGGTGACCGAACCATACCTGCTAACCATCAGGGAGTGGGGGCAGTCAGGAAGGTCCGCTCCCGAGCACCTGCCATGCACCATAACCGGCGCTCCTCCCCTGCAGCGACCAAAAAAATACTTGGCTTATGATACTCCTAGTACAATGATGTTTCTGTTTAAAAAAATCCTGACATTTGCTGGCTACTTTGTGCTACAGGATTTGCTGGGCTCTTTAGGTTCATTGGAGTTCCCTACAGGGAAGGCATCCGTTGATGAAGTGTCAAGTGCTCAGGCGATGTAAGTATATTTTTAATAAAATCATTCAATTCTATTATTCGGTCATCAATTTGTGCTTGAAAGAAACAGTCTGATTATGCATGTTGTTTCCTTGCCATTGTACACCTGATGCGATTGATTTCTCTTTACATCACCTTTCTGTAGTATGAAACTGTCTGTCTTTCCTGATAGCTGAATGACTGTACTAAAGCATAATGCATTAGTGTCTAGACTAACATGTATTGATTTATGTTTTGGGAACCTGTGCTGGATTTAGTTATATAATAATAATATTATTATTAGACAGCAGGCAGTGGCGAGACTTCTGGTATTGATGACCGCATCACCAAGATGATCAAAAATTGGCATTGCAGTGGCGAGACAATTCTTGTTGGAAAGAGTGAATATAAACTGGCTATTGAAACAGAACTGGTCAGCCTTAGCATCCTTTTCTTGCTTCTACTTGGTGCAACATATATCAATGCATTCAAAATCTGCTGTGTATTTGACAGAAAATAGCCTGCCGCTGTGATGAAGTTGCATTTGAAGTGATGTGGGGCCTAGAAAACCACTTGCATATTTTAGTGCCTGATGAGGAATTAGAGCTACGTGAGGAGGGACCATAAGTATAGGAGCCAAGGATTACATATGTTCATGCGAAGTCTTAATTATAATTATAACATCGAACCAGAGCTGGTGAGCACACTAGTCTTTACTGATGTCCAACGTTCAATTTTTCTGTTTTACTGCACCCTGTCATGTAAATTTATTGTGTGTTCACTTGTTCTGTAATCCATGAATATCACCAAAGTTTATATTGTGATACTTCCTGGAATATCATACCAACTGTATGCTAAGCACTATGATATCAAAAAGGAAAAATCATCCATGTATCTCAGTATCATTTTCATGTCTTTGTGAAAGTGCTAAGATGAATAACGTGTTAGACAATGATAGATCTTTTTCATGTCTTTCATGTATTGCTTTGCACAGCATATAAATCTGGTTAAAACATTGTTTTGGTAATTTGAATTTTTTGTTGGAAAAATGCATAGTAGGGGCGGTTGGTACTGTAGCCGCCCCTACAAATCAATTTGTAGAGGCGGCTGGTACTGTAACCGCCCCTACAAATCGATTTTGTAGGGGCGGCTGATAACATCAGCCGACTCTATAAATCGATTTGTAGGGGCGGTCTGGAAACTGCCCCTACAAATACATGATTTGTAGAGACGGTATTGTAGGGCCGGCTAGCCGAACCGCCCCTACAAATGCCCATTAGCCGCCCCTGGAAATCATATCTGACGTAGTGTCAGAGTTTTATTTCATTCCTACACTTAGTTTTCTCGTTTTCTATATATATGGGTCCATGCTTCTCTTTCAAATGGGTCCCTTTTACTTCTGTCCTCCAAATTATATTTGCTGAGACTATAAATACAATTTTTTTTGGAAACAACACTAAAATTTCTTGCTATTATTTTTTATAGTGAAACTTTTTTTCACATCTCTCACCAAAAACAAAAGAAACAGAAACCATATCCTGTCGTGTTTGTATTTTCCACGGCTCATAGGTGTATGCAAGAAGAATGATATGGAAACACTGTGGCTCCATGCTCTCTGCGCAAATAACATAAAAGGTCATCATTCCATTTTGTAAAAGGATAGGTGTCTGAGGGTGCGCGAGAGAGAGGCTGTTCTTTCCAAAAAGAGGGAAACCCTAAGAGAAAAAACATATAGTCCTTTTAGTATTTTCATTGTGAACAAAATGTATATATGAATAATGGGAGGACAATGCAACTTCGTTCTCTATGTGTAAGTAACATATAAAATGGATTTATGTTTTGGTTCCGAATATATGCCTGGGTGTTAGAGATCCACCTTTCCCACAAAAAGGGAAAGAAAAAGAAAAAAACTATACTCCTTTTGTATTTTACGACGCACAATGTACATGTAAGAATGATAAGAAGGCATTGTAACTCAGATGCTTTGAGTGCAAGTAACTTAAAAACGGTTTTCTAGTTTTGCGGAGAGATATGTCCCTGAGCATGAGGGAGACCTATCTTTCCTGCTAAAAGTAAAAGGAAAAATAACATACTCCTATATTTCACACGGCACAAAAAGTGTATTTCAGAATGATGTGAAGACACCACAACTTCATGCTCTGCCTGCAAGTAACTTAAAAGTTTCTGTTTTGCTTAGGGATATGTCTCTGAGCACGAGAGATACCCGCCTTTCTTGCAAAAATGAAATATACTCCTTTTGTATTTTAATAGGTGCACAAAAGTGTATTAAAAACGCTATAAAGATATTGTGTCGCCATGTTCTAGGTCACTAGGTGCACGTAACTTAAAAGGGGGTTTTTCTGGTTTTGCAAAGAGATATGTGCCTGAGCACGAGAGAGACCCACCTTTCCCTCAAAAAAAGATGGAAACAAAATTCCATACTCCTTTTTATTTTCACAATGCACTATGTGCCTTTAGGTAAATGAGATCTCCATATCAACGATGAGTATAGCATCAAATATATATGAAGTGTTACACACTATGTGCGATTTATTATTAGCTGGTTCTTATCGTCGTAATCCATCTCCACAACTTTTATTTATGGTCATAAGTTGCACTTAAAGATCAAGTTTTTTTCTTGCGAGGAAATCAATATATACATACACTAGAAGGGGTAACATGCTGTAAACGGATGTGCCTATATATAATTGGAAAATATGAAAACTTTTAGCACAGTTGTACGTACATCGCGCGTGGATAAACGCGCTTTTCATTTGGCAGAGGACAGTACAACGACAAGTATGCACACATTCTACATCGCTTTGTTGGCACCCTGAAAATCCTCCCACAAGAGTTGTGTGACCCTGGCACCGATACCGTGCAAAGTTACCATGCATGGATTAAAGCGTAGCATGCACCCACCTTTCTTGCATAAATGAAAAGAAAAATATTATACTCCTTTTGTATTTTTTTTGTGACTTACTCCTTTTGTATTTTATGGTGCACAAAAGTATATTAAAAAAATGGTGCAAGTAACTTAAAAGTTTTTTTTTCTAGTTTTACGAAGAGATATGTGCCTGAGCACGAGAGAGACCCACCTTTCCCTCGAAAAGGAAAACGGGCAGAAAACGTCATATTGCTTTTGATTTTCACAATGCACCATGTGCCTCTACGTAAATGAGATTTCCACATCAAGGATAACGTCAAACATATATGGAGTGTTACATATTATGTGCGACTTATTATTAGCTGGTTCTCATTGTCGCAACCCATCTGCATGACTTTTATGGTCGATCATATAATAAGTTGCATGGTAATTAAGATCAAGTTTCATTTTTCTTGCGAGGAAATCAATATAGGTATTTAGAGGGAGGTAACACCACTATAAACTGATGTGCCTATATAAAAGAGGGAAACCTGAAAACTTTGAGCACAGTTGTACGTACGTTGGCGTGGATAAATGCGCTTTCCATTTGGCGGGGGGGCAGTACAACGACGGCGAGTATTCACACATTCTACGTGGCTTTGTTTGCACCCGAAGAATCTTCCCACAAGAGTTGTGTGACCCGGCTTGTTACCGATACCGTGCAAAGTTACCATGCATGGAATGAAGCGTAACACGTGGTTGTCATGTTCTAGTATTATATTATAGGGTTAATTGGATACGTGGTATTATAACTTTACTGTTTTGAAGTGCAACATTATTATTCAACAAACTGCCAGCCGAGCGCGCGGGCGTGCGTCCCCGTCGAGCCTCCCTCATCCTCTGTCTTCTCCATCTCCGACACCGAGCGAGCGAGCGCGCAGGCGGGCTGCCCCGCCGAGCGCGCGAGCGGGCGTCCGTGTCGACATCCACGTCCGTCCGGTTCCTGCCCAGATGCTTCCTGATCGCGACGGCCTTCTTGATGAGGAAGTAGAGGTCCTCGGGCACCTCCGGCGCGAGCCCGCGGGCCTTGAGCATGCGCAGGATCTTGCCGCCCGTGACGCCGTGGACCAGCGGGTCGCTGTTCGTGTCGTAGAGCAGTGCACCGATGTGCGACGGCAGGTGGCCCTTTTGGCGGCGCACACGATCATGTCCTCCACCTCCCCAGCGGTCGACCTCACCTGGCCAGTTGGCGGCAGCGGCGGCTGTCGGCCTAGGGCAGCGTGCCCAGTCCAGGTGCACGGCTCCCCGACGCACCTGTCGGCCCAGGGGCGCGGCTTCGCCGTGGATGGAGGAGGCGAGGGCCCCGCCTATGGAGGAAGAGGCGACCCGCCAGGCTTGGATCTGCTGGCCGCAGGTCCTCCATGGCGCCGCCATGGCCGTAGGTCCTCCATGTCAGCCGGTCGCGCGAGGGCTGCCACGCCAACGCCGGCGAGCGCGCGCAGGGGAGCCGGCATATGGAGGCAGGGAAGGTCATGGGCTAGCTCCTCGTCGCCGGCGAGGCCTACACCGGCCGAATCGACGAAGGTTGTGCGCGTGCTGTCTTCATGAAAAGGACTAGGAAAGGACAGAGGAAGGGGATGACACAATGGGTCCGCATGTAAGTGAGATAGAGTGGGAGGGGTATTTTGGTCCATACAAAAATACAAAGTTGTCCATATACCTGCACGTGGGGCCGAAAATGCTGCAGGTGTGGCAGAACCGACCAATTTATAAGAGCACAAGTACAATGACAACCACCGAGTCATAGCACGGTCATACTTGAGCCCATATAAATCCGGTAGTCCGTCGAGTATCATGAAAGATCTCGAATAATCACCAACATACAACCAAGATCGTACATGATTCAACATACATGTCACATGTTACATAAAGTTCACAAGTAGTTCAACATACATCGAAGTAAAATGAAGTTATTACAACACCAAGATCCACTGCAGTAGCGGAAGCATTATAGTTTTAAAACCAACATCACACACACTTGTTCAAATACATGCTAGTTCGTGATCAAATCCGACAAAAGCATCATAGGTAAGACAACATAGAAGAGCCTTGCCCGCAGCCTTACTCCTCGTCCACGGTGGGAGAGAAGCAGTTCCTGCAGTACCCATGATATATGGTACCATCTGCAACAAGTGGGGAATAAACCCTGAGTACGAGAAGATACTCAGCTAGACTTACCCGTCATAAACTCAAAATAAAGTGACACCAAGGATCATACAGGCTTTATAAGTGCAGCTAGCTTGATAACATTTTGCATAAAAAGCCACTAGTTGAGCTACACCTTTTATAATTGGGTCACCAAGTTAATTATAGCTATTCATCTCTAGATTAGCAACCAACCTATGCCAAACATGTGTTATATAATTAAGTAACATTACAATAGTAACCATAGCCATTTATCATACCATTCTCAGAATCATTTCACTTGCCATTAATCACTACGATAGAAGAAAACTCAGTCAAGTTTCTCACTATCCGAGAGAGACGGCGATTCGAATCGATTGCAACCAGCTGGGCAGTATTCCTAACACAAACCCACACTTCCCCGTCGGAGTCACGTCGGGTCACCTTTGGTACAACTCAGGCACATATGTCGCATGTTCGATTAGCGTCGCACAATCAGGGACAACCAGCTGCCAGGACGGTCAGGCCCAGCTTGTACTTGGGCTCACGTCTAGCTCTTCGCACATCCTTACTACCTCTAGTGTGCGCACTCTTACAGAATGGGCCCCGGTCTGAGTTGAGCTACTCGGCTTCGCTGTCGGAATGAGTTATACGACTAGCTAAGTGAGAGGTTGTATTCAAAATGACCGAGGACCAACAACGATGCGGTCCTTAATCGGCACAGACGGAATCACACGAGTCACCCTACTACATAGACTCCGTCCGGCCTTCATTTACATCCTCCCATGGGTCTTTTACACGATAGCAAATATAGCCAACCATGATTCGGTATCCACCTATATCTCGCAGGTGACAGGAAATCACCCGACTTCTACCGACTAAGCATTGGTAAGCATTTATTCGATCCTGGACCTACATAGGGTTCAAGGGATATTTCTGGACAAAGGAAATTATATGCATTAAGTGTTTCCAATCAACTCTTATAACCTAATGCATCAAACATAAAGAACTTAAGTTGATATTTTTAAAACATAGGAGGCTTAGAATATTCCGAGGCTTGCCTTTCAAGTAGGCTAAGGGCTTATGGTTCAGGCACTCAAGCAGTTCTTTCTGGACCTGTTCTTCACCTTCTAGAACTTCCTGCTGCTGGGTCTCCTGCTGGTCCTCCTCTCCCACGACCTCGAATTCCAAAAGTGTTATTCCCTCCGACGATCCTATATGTATGAAGATATAGATAAATACAGAGAATGCACATGGGATGAAGTGCAAGCATGGTATGACGAAATGCATATTCATACACATCCTTAGCAACAAGATAACAAGATGATGATAGGATTTCTTTGCTTTATTGAGCAGGTTCATATCTCCTCTCTAGTAAAGCAAACATACACTCACCATGTTCTAGCAACCTAAGATAACATTGTTTATCATCAGTAAGAGGCCTAAAATCTGCAGCTAACAACTTATCTTAATTAGCCTAATCATCTAATTTATCAAGCATCATGCTCATACACAGCAAACAATTCAAGAACTAGATGCAATTGAATTATAGAGCAATAAATATATAACTGTATACACCTAATCAAAATTGGTCACAACCAACTGTACCAGCAGGTCCTATTCATCACCAACATGTTAAAAGTATAATGGTTGGACCCCATTCAATTTTATACGCCTTTATTAATTTATAAATTAATTTGGGTGAAAATTGGAACTGCTACTTCTAGTGCTCAATAAATTCTGAAAAAATTACAGCAGCTCATACATGCTCTCAAGAGACTGCTGTTAAAATTTCATACCATTTGGACAAGTACAACAACCTCTACAAAAATGACAAGTGACATTATTTATAGCAACTTAAATAGGTCTAGCATAGTGAAAAGTGTCAAACAATAGATTTTATATTTTTTTACTTTCACCGTAACACCAGCATACTGGGAAAATTAATTCATGCTCACAAGTTACATATATTTACCACAAACTAGCATTTAATCAAGTTAAATCACAAAGTCACATTCCAAGCATGCTCACTGTAGGTTTAATATTTTTCCTAGCTACAGCACATCAGCACAAGACCAACAAAATTGGAATCACATTTTTAGCATCTCCCGAACTCAAGTTATGCATTTTCTAAGATTAAATAGGTAATAAACAAGATAATTTAAACAAGGTATAAAAATGTGGCACATACCAAGTTTCATATTTTTAACAGATAGTACTCATCAAGATGAAGCTAACAAAATTTGGTTCACTCAATTTGGACACTCCTAGAATAAGTTATGAATTTTTGAAGTTTGCTTTCAAGTTTGAAAAAAAATAAAATTTCAAACTCGGTTTGCAGGTAGGTGCACCCGGTGCACTGCACCCCTAGACGCTGACACGCGAGTCCAGGGAGTCAACTGACCCCACTCGTCAGCCACACCAAAGCACATGCGTGTTTGACTGGCGGCGAACTCGCCGACGACGAGGTCTTCGGCGGCGCAGTCACCCCCAATGGCTTCCCCACTTCAACCCACACCCGACGCACTAGATGGTTGAACCTCTACCGGCCTCTAGCTAGGGCAGCGGTGATAATGACGGACGACGGCGCTGTGTGGCAGCGATCCGGCCATGGCATGCTCGGGTGAGCATGGTTACGACTTTGTGGTGACCTAGCAGAGATCTAGGGTTAGGATTGGGGCTCGCTGTGGCATCGGTGAGGCACGACCGCATGCATGGCGACATGGCGGCGCGAGCATGATGGCGGCACTGTGATGTTCCAGCGAGCCGGGTGATGGCATTGAGCATCCGTCCTCCCGTTGAGCTTCGCCATCATGTGGCTAAGACCTAACACCTAGAAGTGAGAGGGGAAGAAGACCGGGCATGCTTGGCCACGGTGGCGCGCATGGCGGCGGTGCGGCCAGCTTTACGGTGGCGCGATGCGCGTTCTCCTTCCGGTGGGTCCTGCATTGGCCAAAGGCCAGCGCCTACAACATCTACTCCACCTAGTGACCACGGGACAGTGGAGAGAGTGAGCGGTGCAAGCGTGAGGTGGTCTGTCCACGGTGAGCTCGAGCTCGGAGGCGCACCACGGAAATGGCGACTATGGCGATGGCACAATGGGCCTCACCTCTGCTCGACTGGGGCTGCTAGCGGGTCGATGATGTAGAGGGTGTCACTGCGGAGCTGTGGGCAGGATGAATCGAGCGGTGGTGCTGCAGTGGCTACTAGCGAGGCCGGCGACGACGCGACAGCGGCGGCGCTGCGCTTTCTCCGCTCGGTGGGAGCGAGAGAGAGAAAGAGAGAGCGAGTGAGGGCGAGGGTGGGCGAGCAACAGCGACACGACGTCTTTCTCTCCTCCCTGGCTTGACGAACGGGGCTGGTGCTGGCGGCATACGGCCGCCATGTGCCGCGCACGGCCTGCGCGCGGTCGGCCACTACTGGCCGGTTTGAAATCGGCTAAGTGTCGATTCAGGTAGTCTGACAGCGCGACGTTGCACCCCTAGATCTCCCAAACCGTGGCGAGTTTTGAATAACCATTTTCATCATTGTGTAAAGCTATGTGAGTACTATAAAATTGCTTAAAGGAGTTTGGTCTAATTTAAGCTGGTTGTCAAACTAAAAATCATCAAAAGTGGGTACATGAAAACTGTAAATAGTCTTAGAAAATTTTATGAGTTTTCAAAACAGCATAAAGTTGGATTTTGGGAGCCCTTATTGACCAACTTAGGCATTGATTTAGCTCTTGGCCCTTAAACAAAGTTTGTTCTACATGAGATGAACTACAACTTTTATTTAGGGCCCACTGCCATGCAAGCTCTCTAAGTAATTAGTCAAGTTAGGTCAAACAATCAACTAAATAAAGACATTTCTAGTGATACCTACACTTAGAAGCATTTTTGGACCAACTCATGAATATAAACTTGGTTCCATTTTCCATCCTAAGTGTGTCTAAGGTGTTTTAGTGACCAAACAACAATCACTTGCATTAGCCAAGCATGATCACCAGCATATACATGTATAATTAAGCATCACATGTGATAACATAGAGTGAATGAAATGAAATTTCATACGCTAATGCTCAAGAATGAATGGGTGATGCTTATGCTCATGCAAATGTAAGTGCAAAATGCAAGCTTAACACTGGAGTGTTACAACAGGCGTATATAATGGCATATTTCAGCTTTGGCAAGAATTATAATGGCAGTGACATAGTTTCACGAATAGTAATGGTGCATTTAAAAAATGATAAAGTTATAATGGCACAGATC